GCCTCTGTCTGTATGTTTGTGTCCATCTCTGTCTCTTTCTCTCCCTCTGTCTCTATCTCTGTTGCTCTATGTCTCTCTCTCTCTTCCTCTGTGTCTCTGTCTCTCTCTCTCTGTGCCTCTGTCTGTATACTTGTGTCCGTTTCTGTCTCTTTCTCTCTCCCCTTCTCTATCTCTATCTCTGTTGCTCTGTGTCTCACACTGTTTCTCACTCTCTGTGTCTCTGTCTGCCTCTCCTCCCAACAAAATACTGGGGGATATGGTGGGAAGGACACAACTGTATTGTTCAGAGATAGCAAGAACTGCCGATGCTGGAGTCAGAAGCAACACAGTGTGGAGCTGGAGGAACACAGCAGGTCAGGCAGCATCAGAGGAGCAGGAAAGTTGATGTTTCGGGTCAGGACCCTTCTTTTTTTCTGAAGAAGGGCCCTGACCTGAAACATCAGCTTTCCTGTACCTCTGATGCTGCCTGGCCTGCTGTGTTCCTCCAGCTTCACACACCGGTATTGTTGCCAAGTTTGGCCCAGCAGTGAAGAGATGACGCCTGAAGAATGGCAACTCCAACATTAGTGGGTCTGGCAGGGCAGCGGGAGGGTAAAGCTATGAACTGGAGCAGTGGATAAAGAACAAAGATGGACTTAGTATTTTTTTTTATTTTTAAGTTATTCAAAATGGCGCCAAAGCATTGTGAGAGTTGAAGCTTTTCACAATATTTTCTCTTAAATACAAGTGACAATAATCATTTGATTCGATACAATTCAAACTAATTGGGTGGAGGGGTGAGAGGTGCATTTTTTCGTTTTCTGTATGAAGATATACCACAAAGTCTGAGTTGTCCTTGACACAGATATCTTGAAGTTAATTAACAACACTGTTAATCAGACAATATCACATTATGCCCGGGTTAGTTTTGTATGCCCGCCCAACTGGTCTTTACTGGAGTGCAGATGGGAGTTGTGTTTGAGGACCTTGCAGAATTAACCATCGTAGCAGATTCCCAAGGAATTACCTGGGAAATTGAAGATTCCACTTAGTAATTCCCCTGCTCCTGAAACCCTCTGAAAGTCTCCATTTCAATCCAGAGTTCCACTGCAGTTAATTAACTCCTCACTCAGGGAAAGTTTGGCTATTAAATACCGAGTCTAACTCCTCAGCAACTATTCAACTGACCCCAATTTAACTTACAACACCTTAAACCCCCAAAGCATGACCACAAACCCCTCCTCTGAGGGCCTGACATCCCCTCCTCCAATGCCTGTTCCTTCCCTTGCTACCCGACCTGACCAACATTCCTTGTTGCTGGACCCAACATCTGCCCTCAATAAAGGCCTGACACTGCCCATCACAGAGTCATAGAGTCATACAGTATGGAAACAGACCCTTCACCCCAACTTGTCCATGCTGACCAAGTTTCCCAGACTAAACCAGTTCCACTTGCCTGCATTTGGCCCATATCCTTCTAATCCTTTCCTATTCATGTACCTGTCCAAATGTCCTTTAAATGTCGTAACTGTATCTGCATCTACCACTTCCTCTGGCAGTTCATTCCACACACGCATCAACCTCTGTGTGAAAAAGTTGCCCTTTATGCCTCTTTTAAGTATTTCCCCTTACCTTAAACCTATGCCTCCTAATTTTGGACTCTGTTATCCTGGGGAAAAGACCTTTGCTATTCACCCTATCCATGCCCCTCATGATTTATAATCCTCTATAAGGTCACCCCTCAGCCTCCGATGCTCCAGGGAGAAAAGCCCCAGCTTATCCAACCTCTCCCTATAAATCAAACCCTCCATTCCTGGTAATATCTTTGTAAAATTGTTTTAGACCCACTCCAATTTAATAACAGCCTTTCTACAGCACGATGCACACACACCCACCACAGCTACCCACCCCCCACCTTCCCCGGCCTCCAACTCCCAGACACTACCGTCAGACCCAATATCTCCCACAATCCCCTCAACCACCGAGCTACCTTAAACACTCCATCGCTTATAAGGACCCTTGCCATCTGTACCATACTGACTGGCACTCTACGCACGGCACCCTGATTCCATGGCCTCCAAAACACCCAATACCCAACCCCGACATCCCAACTGCTACCCATTGGCATCTATCATCCTGGAACACTACATATTTGGCACCATCCCCTACCCACCTTGCAGCCTATCTCCCCTTCTGTACTCTCCCAGCACAATTAGCTGATGTAGCTATGCTGTCTGTGATGGTGGCCTATTAAGTTACAGAGTATGGATTTGAGCTGCTCCCCCATGCCTGTTCAGACCAGTGAGCCTTACTTCGGTTGTGGGTAAAGTGTTGGAAAGGATTATAAGAGATAGGATTTATAATCATCTAGAAAGGAATAATTTGATTAGGGATAGTCAACA